AGAACATGAATTATTTGCATTATTCACAGAGTGATAAAACGCGTTCAATGACACTGCTGTATCCATTCCAATTTTTTATTACATCCTATTTGTAACATTTTACGTATAGATGTAGTTAGTAAATCACAATGTTTCAAAAGTAACAAAACACAAAAGCGCATGTACATAAAGCACATAGAGTATATATATTCTCCTTTTATCTGGTCCTTTTTATTATCAAAATGAAAACATTTATCATGTAATCGCCATTACGAATGAGGGAAACGCTTAATAGAAATGTCTTGTTTTTGATAAATGAAAATATGAGATTTCATGAAAGGAATTCATAACAAAGTAGGCTAAAGATCTCCAACCAAAACTGAAATCCTGATATTTTATAAGTATGAAAACATGTGCTATTAGAATAAAATATATTTTTTAATGTTTGACGTTAGATCTAAATACATGCTTACATCTAAGGTAATCCGAACTTTTTAAGTTAAAAAAAATAAATATCCAGCCAAATGAATATAGGTATATATTATATCCTATTCCGAGTGGTAAAGAAAATAAAATAGGTACACATGAAAAGTACCACAATTAATTCTACAGCTTCATGATTATAATCAGCAATAATTCTGCCAATTTCATGAAGAATAAACGTTATTAATCGTTTAATTATGCAAGTGTTAATTCCATATTTATACAAGTAATTTCCGTTAAACATGTTAAAGTTGTTCCTGTAAATTGGAAATTTTCAAAAGCTATAGAGTTTATTTAAATAAAAACAAAACAAAATAATTCTAACATTTTTTTTTTTTTTAGAAAATCAAGATCCTAGTCAGCCGTCCTGTTTATCGTTAGGTACTTTTAGTTCGAAGTCGAGTGCATCATATGCAATGTCTTCTTTTTTTTTACCCCGGATTATACGATTCCTTCTTGTCACAATTTTTGTCCAGCATCAACTCATACCTCCATATATTGGTTAGGATCTCGGTCAATTTAAGAAAAACATAATGTTTTTGAAAAACTTTGAAGTATTCTCACATATAGATCACATGGAAACACTTCATTTGTTCGATTAGCATTAGCTAGAAATCGGATTGAGTTTTAGCAAAGAAATAAAGAAGCAAAGTAAAGCACATGTCATCGTCAACGCCATTTTCCATTCTCGATTATACATGGAGAGATAAAGAGTACAGAAAACCAAGAACAAAATGAATATTCTATGTGCATAATAATGATATGCGCAGTAAAATTGTTTGTTTAATTTTTAGTTTCCTCTGCTCGTGCATTTTTTGATTTTTGTTTGTGCATATTATACCCCTAAATCGTGTAAAAAATTTCAGATTCGTGTAGTTTTCCTTATGTTTGTGTTAAAATCTTTCAAACTATGTGCAATTTTTACCTATACGTGCATATTTATTTTACTCGCGTATATTTTTCATATAGCTCGTGTATAAAATCTTGATCGTTGTGCAGAAAATACTTTTGAACCAATCAGCGTGCCATAGACATTGGTTTTCATTGGTGATAATTTTCTTTATAGTTGGTGAGAAGCTTCATTGGTTATAATAATTTGAAAATATCAGACGATTCTGTCATGTAGATTTTAAAAATAAATACAATGATTAGAAAGAACACTTAGAAGAAGGATATGGAGATAACGATCAGTATTCAATATCAAAGTCCATATAACAATACAGAATAGGAGCAGAGCAAACGCGGACCTCCAAAACATCAGAGGTGGGATCAGGTGCCATGGAGGAGTGAGCATCCCCTGCTGACCGGTCACACCCGCCGTGTTTTCCTTGTCATGATTACATGTAGGAAGTAACGGAAAAATCCGTCGTCAATTCAGTTTGTAAATAATGGACTAACAATAAGTATGAAAAACGTCCGTCAGCATTTGGCTTAATGATAAATTGTTTTTGCTGACAAGGTCATTGTATCGACCATAGAACTTACGAAATGATGACTTTAAACGAAACTGCTGATATTCTTGTTTCATCAACTTGCTTGTCAATAATTTACCTCGTTTTAAGAAATTGTTCATGCATAATGCATGCTCTTGCGTATTGAATCGACTGAGAAATATAAACAACGTATGCAGGTGATGAAGGTATATTGCTGCATATAGAAGTTATGTTAAGTGTATAAACAGCTTTGTTCTCTCTTATATTATTTGAAAAATAGATTTACCCGCGTGAAGCTTTTTTTTAAATGAGTGACCACTGTGTTCTCATTGATTGATTGTATGCTGTTTTACGTCCCTCTCGAGAATTTTTCACTTATACGGAGATGCCATCACTTGCCGGTGGAGAGCTGCAGATTACATGTATGTCTTATATACCGCATTTAGGGCCATTGAGCAAGGAGGGATCACTCCCCCTCCTCCAACCCCCCCACTCTCCCGCACCTACAATGACATGGGACCTGTACGAAAGCCCAGAAGGCTCATTCGAGATTCGAGATTCGAAATACGAGATTCGAAATTCGAGATTCAATACTCGAGTTTCGAGATTCAAGATCCAAAATAACCAATCAAAAGGCGATTTGAAATTCAATTACTCCCCTTTATTATTTTTTACTATTAAGAAATCGTTGAGTATTTTAATACCGGGGAGGTCATTTGAATAAATTACAACGCAAGAAAAAGTGTTATATATTATCAAAACGAAATTTAATGAAATATTGGATTTTGGTCTGCAAGATATGCTTAATTAATTTATAATAGCTTCTTAAATGTCATAAGAGATTTATATAAAGAATATATATATTTCGTGTTATCTACTTTGGATACTGGGTTGTTGACATAATAGTAAACTTAGATTAACAGTACATACATCCCCCCTTTTTTCCAAACATAATTTTTTTTACTATTGCAAACGTTCATCGAAAGATCGGTTGCACAGCCCCCCCCCAATGTTTTGGTACAGTGGTGCAGTATAGTCAAAGAAGTTTAAGTAGTAGTGTATTCAAAGAAATTAGGTACTAAATGAAGTTTGACCCCCCCCCCCCCACGCCCCGAAATAGGATTTTCAGGTTTGGACAATTTTTTTCTGTCAGTTTTTAGATTTTCAGGTTTGAAATAATATTTTTGTCTGCCCCCCCCCCCCCCTCCCCCACCCCACTTTCAAAATCGATGCTTCGTCTCTGTAATAATTAATACTACGGGTTTCAATGTGGATAGTGTTTGTGACACGGTATTAGAAAGTGGCCAGTGACCAAGTTTATGAAACCAATAGACAGCCCCTTGAATACGGATGGTTGAAACATACATGCTTAATAAAGATAATGACCCATTGGGAATAATGAATTTTAACAAAAATCATTGTTATTCAACCTATCCCCACCCCAACCTCGAAAAATAGGGGTTATCATGGGAACTGGAAGTTATTTTTGAATGGACATAAGCAAAAAGTTACTGTTTTCTATAGTATATTATACCGTCCGGAATAATATTACGGGAATGGCCAAGTGGGAACGGGGGGGGGGGGGGGGGGGGAGGCAAATGTGTTGTTATCAACATTCATTGTCAAACTTGCAATTCATGGATACAATAAATATATATTCGATAATTACGGTATTTAAAAGGAAACCGCTCGGGTCTCGCCCGACTTGGTCAAAGACTCAAATATACTAGTAAAATCATAATGCTTATTTCATTGGGGGTGGGGGCACAGCCATACATTTTCAGTTTTCAACCACCAAAAATTACTTGACAACCAAAAACAAAGCAAAAAAAAGTCATCAGATGTTGAGGGGGGCACAAAATTGAGGGGGCACAAGCATATAGTAGTTATGATTTCTATAGTATTTTATATATCGGCAAAATTATTAAATTATGGGGGGGGGGGGGGCACAATGTAAAGAAATGTACCCTCATTAGTATTTCATATAAATGATAATTTTCTCCCTCATCAATGTTCTTATTTTAAAAAATGTCGACATAAGAATTCCGCAATTCAACGATAAGACCATGTAATATTCTATATATGTATCTATTGTTTTGTTTAATGAGGAAAAATAAGAATTTATATATATTTTCTAAAATGTAACCTAAAATTCCTTTTTATTTCGTTTTAATACATACATGTATATCTTTTTTTCTTGCATTATCATTTAAGCAAATGACCCATTTGATATGAATATATTCAACGATTTCTTGATAGCAAAACATAATAAAGGGGAGTAATCAAAGTTGAACCTGCCTTTTGATTGGTTAATTTGGATCTTGAATCTCGAAACTCGAATTTCGAATCTCGAATTTCGAATCTCGTATTTCGAATCTCGAATCTCGTATTTCGAATCTCGAATCTCGAATGAGCCTTCTGGGCTTTCGTAGACCTGACCTTGGTTTATACTGTCTCATCCAAAGGAACGGTCTCCACATCCCACATCGAGATTCGAACCTGCAACGTAAGGATCAACTCCTTACTCCGTGACTCTAAATTGATCAAAAACATGGAGGTGTGGCAGACTGGGTACACAAATATGCGACTTGAATAAAAAAAATCCTTTAAAGTCATTCGATTTCTGACTGTAAGATATTTACAATGTTAGATATATTTATGATAACACAATAAACAAATGAACTTCAGGCGCGGATCCAGAAATTTTTTCCAGGGGGGGTCCACCCCAGTCAAAAAAAAAAATCCAATCCCAGAAATTTCTTGACAAGCAAAAAAAAAAAAAAAAAAAAAAAAGAACCTAAAATGGCCCAAACGTGAAAACCCTATTTCGTGGGGGGGGGGGGGGGGGGGGGGGGGGGTGTTAAGTGGTGACTTCTATTGCCTCATTGCCTCAAATCTTTCACTTTTCATACCCATTTCACACATATTTGCGTTTACCAAGGAGGGTCGGCGTTTTCCAGGGGGGTCCATGGTAACTTTTTTCTTGTTTTAGTATATACATTTTTTAACCTGGTAAATTCCAGGGGGGGTCCTGACCCCCCCGACCCCCCCTCTAGATCCGCGCATGAACTTTTCTTGTGCGTTAGGAATTTTGTCTAGTGTAGATATTAAGTTAAGTTTTTTCAGTTCTTAGATGGGCTCCCCTTTTTGCAAGATACATCATAATCTCTTTTCTATGCTTTTCAAAGGCATATTCCCAGGGACCATCACCTGCAAAGTCCGCTTTATTAACATCTGCTCCATTTCGAACCAAATGTTCAACTATTTCAAAATTTCCATTTCTCGATGCAATGTGAAGAGGGGTTCGTCCACAACTATCAGTTGCATTTATATTAGCATGCTCTTTGACTAGAAGTTTCACAATATCGTAGAGATTCTTATCAGCTGCATAATGCAAAGGTGTCATTTTGTTAGGTTCGTCAGCTGTGTTGACCTCTACTTTCTTGTGAAGTAAGATTCTGACTATCCTTTCCTCGTTACTTTCTACAGCATAGCACAATAAACTTCTCCTTTTGTCATCCATCTTGTTCAAATCAGCTTTGCTTCTTGCTAAAACATCAAAGGCTTCAGTGTTTTTCATTGTTATTGCTAAAAATAAAGGAGATTGAATTCGTTGATTTCCAGGTATGTCGACTCTAGCACCCCTTCTCAGTAAATATTCTAATATTTCACTGTTTTGGAAATTCTCAATAGCCACATGTAATGGTGTCTTGTTGTCATCATCACAAGAATTCACATCTGCTCCATATTTCACCAGGTGATCAACCATTTCCAAGTTATTCTTTTCTATAGCCACGTGTAAAGGTGTTTTATGGTTTTCATCTCCTTTGTTTACCAAGGACTGGCTTCCTTTTTCGATTAAATATTTTACAAGTTCAAGTGAGTTGTGTTCTGCTGCCAAATACAAGGGTGTTCTCTCCTGACTATCAAACACATTTACATCTGCTCCTAGTTTCACAAGTCTTTTTGTTGTTTCAAAGTAACATTTGTCAACAGCTACAAAAAGAGGAGTTCTTCCATCAACATCACTGTGGTTTAAATCCATGGATTTTTGGTTTAATTTTTGCATCAACAGTCCAATAACATCAATATGTCCATTTTCTAAAGCATTAATCAAAGGAGATTTTTCGTTGTTATCAAATTTATTCAATTTTGCACCTCCTTTTAAAAGCATTTCTGTTATATCTTTGAATCCAAAAGTAGAGGCCGTATTCAATGGAGTAACGTCGTTCTCATCAACACAATCAACCTTTGCTTTCTTATCTAAAAGTATTTTGACAAAGTTTTCGTCACCTTTCATTGTGGCCAAATGTAAAGGGTGTCTGTTTCTAATGTCATGGGTATTGACATCCAATCCCTCAATTTTCAGTAACGTTTCAGCGATATCGGTATAATTTTTTTCCATAGCTACCAGCAGAGCAGATCTATTCTTATGGTCACATTCATTTACAAGGACTTTTTTTTCTACTAAAACATTGACCAAGTCTAAATTTTCCTTAGCAATGGCAACATGCAATGGTAAAATAGTAGCTTGCTCATTGAAGAACAATGCCTTTGATTTTGAGAAGCGTACATTTGTCAGGTCTTCTGTTTTAAGATGTTCTAGAACTATTTTTAAAATGTCAACACTTCTGAAGCAAGCAAGCAAAATGCAACGATTAACGTCTGCTTGGTTGCTGTTTTGTTTTATAGCAAGTCTCAGTATTTGGTCAATAGCTTCATATCTGCCATAAGAAATAGTCCAGTATACAAAATGCGTTGAAAGTACTGTAAAACCATTGGAACATGGGTCTGATTGTCCAGTAAACAGAAGTTCAAAACGTAGCAATTCTGTTTCATTCCAAATATAAGCACACTGCTCATTCGTTTTGTTGGAATTTTCATTTACAACTGAATTACGTCTGCCATTAAATATTGGGTACCTTTTACTGCAATACAAAATGTCTGTCATTCTATCCTGTGAAAGTACATCTATGAAAACATTGATAAACTCATCATTCTTCCAATAAGGCACCTTGATAACGTTTGACATGGAACACATGTCATCTGATGTTAAATATTCATGCAAACGTTTGCTGAGCGTTTGAAACTGTTCTGTGTCAGGTAGTCTCCAACATTCATCATCACTGGCACTAAATGGACAGACATGACTACAGATTACCTTATTGCCAGCACATTTAAGAAATAATTGTGGATCCTTTTTCAACAAATGGCAAATGAATGCATCTAAAATGCACTCTTGTTCGCAAAAACACACAGTATTATCTCCAATTCTTTTGCGTCTCAAGTATTTAGATTTTTTAATTGCTGATTTTATTCCTTCACTAAAAGTTTTTTCTGGAATATTGATTTCAAGGACTTGAGATATATTTTTTTGTGCATTTAGTAAAGACTTTTTCAAAATTAAATTTTCTTGCCGTGCTAACAAAATCAAAGTGTAGAAATCATACACATGATTTTGACTTTCACTGAAGTAGGCCCCAATATGATTACAAAGTCTCGGTAAGTATTCATTCTCACCGTCATCATCATTCTGTGTTAGACCAGACTGAACGTTTACTGCCTCATTAATTTCTTTTAGTAATCCTGGTGATTTTCCAAGGTAAGTTTTGGTCATGTAAATTACATTCTTCAAAACATCAATGGGAAACGCGATAATTTCTTCAAATATATTAGATCTGCAAGTCATGATCACCTTTGTTTTCCCTTCCAATTGGCAAAAATTGTTTTTGTGCAGAAGAAAGTACACAAGATTCAAAATATTTACACTAGTTTTTCCAAATGGATGATCAAAGATAATTAATCTTTGCACAGAGTTTGGCAACTTGTCCTCAATCAACAGTTCCTCCATATTGGAAATCTGGCATATATTCCATTCATTTTCCACTTCCTTCATTTTTAATGCAATGTGCCGCGCTGTGAATGTTTTCCCAACTCCTGGTGGACCAACAAGGGTAACAGCATTAGTTTTGTGTAACAATTGTATTATTCTTGTACAAAATCCCTCTTCAGGTTCCTCATAAATGCAGTCATCATTTTTCCACTCTTCTGTGTTGTAAAAATCTAAAAGAGTGGGAACAATATTTACATCAAATCACTTAAATAATATTGATACGTTTCTTGTGTATGGTTCAACGCGTTAAAATATTTAACGAGGCCGACTCTAATTATATCTGTCCTAGGGATTCTGATAATCTTTTGACATTTAATTTTTACTGTTATATTTATTGTTTGAAGATTAAAAACTCGAATGTTTACCACCCTGATGATTTCTTAGGGGACCATCTCAAAAGTTGTCAAATTTTACAATTGGACCCTATGGGAATTTGTTGGAAAAGTGCCAATTTATCACATTTTTCCCATATTTTTTTTTTTTTTTGTATTTCTGCCCTAGAGATTTCTTTTTCATTTAAGTAGATGAAAGTTATTGTTAAAAGTCATTAAATTGTGAAATTTCAGAAAAATTCACATCTACTTTGGTCTAGGAATTAATTACTAAGTTTATTTTTTCAAGCCCAGTACCTCTAAAATTGCCATATAACGGTATAACTACATATCAGTGCACTGAGTGCAGATGAATTATCGGCACATACGATAAAAAAATTAGCAATGTTTAAATTGCTAGTATGTTTCTTTAGAGGTTCTGTCATCAGTTTTAGTATAATAATCCATGGACGTCTTGAACATACAAGCGAGTCATGCATCATTCTTCAGCGTCATGCATTGCTTATAAAAATCCGAAAATGGTGGCGTCGTTAGAGCCATTTCAGTGTTTTTTCCCCAATTCTTGTCGTAAAATCACATTTTCAGACCAGTAGGGGTTACAGATATTAATTTTGTATTAAAATCAAAATATTTGGCAAAGGTGTACTGCCGCACAAATGACTGCATGAAATTTAAAAGCTGTGCAAAGTCTTCGGCACTCCAATTAGACTCGGCCTTGTTAAATACTAGATACATTATCTATAGAACATGCATTTCAAGCTTTCATCCACACCGCACTTGTATCCACAGCAAAATCAAGAAAGTAATCAAAAATCATAGAAAATGTTATTAAGCGCTAAACAAAATAAGAGTTGACAGGAAAATGTTGAAAGAAGTATTTAAAACTTCTTTCATATAAAATTAATATTTCGGCTGCCTTTAGTACAGTCGTTGCCTTTTATAACAAAACATGTACGTAATGTTGGAGCCCATGGCACATCTATCTAACAGTTGAATGAAGTTTTATCCCTTACACTATCAAGTTCATTTGCTCTATCTTCTGATATAATATATAGAATATTGCTCTCACTAGTTTTAATTATCTGTGAAAGAATTGCACAAGGTACATTTTAGGTAATTCAAAGAGATAAATAAAAGGAAACGTCGGGTCTAGAATAGTTTTTTGATATTTCATTCTTTAAATGATCATTAATGAATTTTACCTGAAATCGCCATTTGTTTTTACTTAATTATAAAGTAATAAGACACCAAAGTTATATGTAAACTGACTGCTGGAGGCTGCCATGTTGGGAGATAAAGTTATCTCGCTTGCTAAATATTTCCCACAATCCTCACTTTTATGACGTATTTGGGACACATTGGTTC